GAAACACTTCTGCCCCTAAAAAACTTATTGACAAAATGTGTTCTTAATTTATGGAATTCACTCCCAAAAACAGTTTTCCATCTGGATGAAATGGTATCTACCCTAGATACCTTTATTTTGCATACCCTTTAGATACCCTTATTTTGCTTTGTTTTTAAATATTTCAGGGGTTTCTTTATATTTTAAATCAGGAACGTCCAACTCCCAACAGACTGCTATGCATTGTCGTTGGATGGAACACATTTTTTGAGCTTTTTTTTAGGAAGACAAAGTTCTTTTACTTTTTGGGGGGGGAAGGAGATCACTGAGGGGCCAAAGATCTACCAGGATCTACCAGAAACACCCTGTGATCTGCCAGTAGATCGCAATCTACCTGTTGGACATGTCTGTTTTAAATGATATCTTAAGCTATATTTTTATTATACCTGTAAATCTCCTTAAACATATTTTAAAGATCATTCATAAATGTTTATCATCATCATCTACTAAATATTGTGAAAAGTTGTTTGCCTGTTCTCTGTGCATTTGGATACCTCTTAAGATATCAGTAACCAAATTTTGCATGGTAGTTCCTGAGATCAAAGGGTTGGTTTTTGTCTATATTTGGACAAAGTTGTACACCATTGGCAGCCATGCTCTTTCACAGACTTTCTTTCCATCAGAGGCAGATTTAGGGGAGTGTGACTGGTTTGGTCGCACTGGGCGCAGAGCCTTGGGGGCACCACCAGGAACACCGCAACTATTATTTGGAATGGAGTGCAAGAGCTGAATTTTGGCATTGCACAGGACCACACTGAAATATGAGACCCCAAGGTCTGCCACTGAGGGCAGCTGGTTGGCCACTGTGAGAACAGGGTGCTAGACTAGATGTGCCTTTGAACTGATCCAATAGAACTATTCAGTGTTATTCTCTGTAGTCACTGTGGGAAACAGGAAGCTGAATGCGATAGTCTGATCCAGGGGGCTCTTGTTTAGCTCGAGCCATGAGTGGAATTTCATTCATTTGATTCAGATCCAGGAAGCTGTCATTTCCTGTAGTACAAGGTAAGGTCAGGATGAGAGAAACACAATTAAAGTTGAAGTTACATGTGCAAGGTATCGATTCAGGTTCTACAGCTGTGCAAATCATAGATAAGAGTGTGTGAAGCCTGCTCCATCTCCACCCCAACCCCACAGAAATTATAGTCAGGGGCAGAGGAAGGGGTGCAGTGGGTGCGGGCCACCCCAGGTGTCACCACTGAGGGGGGTGACAAAGTGCCGGGCAGCACTCATCGCGGGGCCTGCAGCGCACCCAAGCCACATGTCTCTCCTGGGAGTGTTGTGGTGGCTTGGGTGCGTGCAGGCTCTGCGCTGCCCAAACGGTCCACCTGCTTCCTCCCCCCAGCTGTAGGGCAGCTGAGTGGGAGGAGGCAGGTAGACTCCAGAGGCCCCATGGTGCGTCCCGCCCCTATGGGCAGCTTGCCCCACCCTCGACTCACCCCATGGGCAGCTTGCCCTGCCCCTAGGCACGGCGCCCCAGGTGCCCAAGCGGCTTCCTCCACTGCTGATTATAGTTTTAGATTTCCTCAATATTTTGCAGATGTTTTGTGTGGGCCAGGAACACACACAATCTAGACAAAAACTCCATATCCACTTTTATTCTAGCACTCTGAATGGGGGCAGCTGAGATATGGGCAGGGGAGGAAACACCCTCCATATTCAACCATATTTTAATGTAGTCTAATTTTTCTATAATGACCAGTGGGGGAAGGGGCAATCCCCTTCACCCACTCCAAAAAGCCGTGGTTATGAATCATTTGCAAAATTATAGTCATTATTCTGAGCATCTACACACCCCTCATCCCCTGCAAGGGAGGATGCCTCCTTGCTAGCAAACACAAGGAAGGGTTTTTTTATTATTAAAAAAAAGGGAAAAAAATAAGTGGAGCAAAATCATGGATCTCAGCAGAGACGATCAATCAGCCACAGCCTTACAGATGAGAGTTGGGGAAATACAGCTGCAAAAGCCTACAGAGACTTGTAGATCTGTCCAACGGTGCTTCTACTTGGTGATGAATAGTAAGAGAGACTCGCGGTTCTCCCTCTGCGTTGGCTTTGACTTAATTTGCACTTGTGTGGAAAAAGATGAAAACAAAGAAAAAGGTAAGAGGAGATTTGGCCAGGATAGCTGACCGCCACTCCCCTGACCGATTCTAGTGTGTGGTCATGGCAACTCTATGATGACGGACCATCTGGACTGACAGCAGAGATGCTGGAGATTTCCAGAAATGGAATTTCCAGAGATTTCAGAAATGGAAATGGGAAAAGAAAATGACACAATTGGTCACTTGTTTATCAGAGGTCAAGATGGCATTCAATCCTGGCCCTACTCAGAAAAGACCTACTGAGGTTAATGGACATGGCTCATTTAGGTTTCTTCACAGAGCCAGTGTTACAGTCGTACGTCTGGTTACGTACTTAATTCGTTCCGGAAATCCGTTCTTAACCTGAAACTGTTCTTAACCTGAAGCACCACTTTAGCTAATGGGGTCTCCTGCTGCTGCTGCGCCACCAGAGCACGATTTCTGTTCTCATCCTGAAGCAGAGTTCTTAACCCGAGGTAATATTTCTGGGTTAGCGGAGTCTGTAACCGGAAGTGTATGTAACCTGAAGCATATGTAACCCGAGGTACCACTGTATAGCAATTAGAATGTTCAGCTGGAGCCTGGGAGAGACCAAGGTTTGAATCCCCACTTGGCCAACTCACTGGGTGACCTTGGGCCAGTCACTGCCTGTCAGCCTAACCTACCTCACAGGGTTGCTGTCAGGATTGAATTAGGAGAAGCACGGACCACCTGTACGTTCCTTGGAGTGAAAGGTGGTTTGTAAATGTAAGAATTAAATTGAATGGGTCAATTCTGAGTAGGACTTAGTTGAATACCTCTCCAGAAACAGCAATCACACAAGCAAATATAAGCAGTATTTGCTATCATGGGATGGGGGTGGAGGTAGAGAGGTTACAGTTTGCAAATAATTGTGTCCTTTTTGATATTGTTTTCCCTCCCACTGAAATGCATTCAAAGTAATTGTGTAATTAATGGCATCATTAATTAAGTTAGTTTCAGCCATAGAGGTTAGTGAGAAAACTTAAGTTTTAGCCACTGCCAAACTGTGCTGGAATAGAAGCAGTGTGAATTAATATGAACACAGGACAGGATGGCTCCTAACCTACCTAACTGACCTGAGAGGTCATACGGGTGGCACTGCTATCACAGACCATAACTGAGTCACTTCCATAGATTTCAAAGTGAACACATGAGCAATGTGTGCCCAAATTTTCCCCTTAGTCAAGTGATCCTTGGTACATGTATGCTTTAAAGGGTTATAGTTTTTTTACACTTTGTTTTATCTACATAATTTGTCTTGGGAGGGCTTTGTCCTGAAATACAATACAGAATTTATGGAAATAAAGAGACAACAAAATGGGCCCCATCCTGGACATCAAGTTCCCTAAAACTGAGAGTTTCAGAGCCTTCCTGACTCAGTACATCAAGCTCTGCCTTCCTCTTTCTACATTTACCTGAGTCACCAGCAATTGCTGAAAACATTTTGACATATGGGGGAGGCGAGTAAGAAGAGGGGGAGAACAAGCATTTGCAAGAAAGGGTTAATAGTTTATTATATATTTTTTTTCTAAGTGATTTTATCACTGTCATTAGAACATTCATTGAACTAAGTGAGAAATCCATCAAGACATGACAGGAACGTGCAGACTAATGGCTGTTCGACGGCAATAATTTTTAATATGATTTTTATTTCACTTAATTTCATATGTGCTCGACAAAAGGTCCTGTGTCACTGGGGAGCTGTGTAAAATGGAGAACACATTGGTGAAATGATGATTAAACTAAAGGATTCAAAGGCTGTCCATTGACAGGGACGTTGATATACTCGATTTTTATTTTTATTTTTTTTAAAAAACACTAACTTCAGATGTTCGATAAAAACCCCTCTCTCTCCCTTTTGGCAAGAAGTCAAGAAGACAGCAGGAGGAAATGTGTTCACTCTGCCAACTCTGAGGAACCAAATTATCCCCTCAAATGTATTGTGCCATTATTTTTTGCCTTCGATGGCTCCTCTCCTTGAGGGCGTAACATCAACGCCTTCCAACTGTACTGACAAAAAGTAGCACAGAGTCTGTTTTCCCACCAAGCATTATGGTAAAAGGGAAAGGTAAAGGGACCCCTGACCATTAGGTCCAGTTGTGGCCAACTCTGGGGTTGTGGCGCTCATCTCACTTTATCAGCCGAGGGGGCCGGCGTACAGCTTCCAGGTCACGTGGCCAGCATGACTAAGCCGCTTCTGGCGAAACGTCGTTTACCTTCCCGCCGGAGCGGTACGTATTGATCCACTTGCACTTTGACATGCTTTTGAACTGCTAGATTGGCAGGAGCAGGGACCGAGCAACGGGAGCTCACCCCGTCGCGGGGATTCGAACCGCCAACCTTCTGATCGGCAAGTCCTAGGCTCTGTGGTTTAACCCACAGCGCCACCCGCATTATGGTAGTGAGGTATAAATTTGGTACCTCCCAAATTCTAGGCCATTTCATAAACCCAATGGCTGCTGGAATAACAAGTTCCTTGTTCTTGTTAAGAATGTATGAGCCCTGCTGGATGAGGCCAGTGGCCCACCTGGTCCAGCATCCTGTTCTCATAGTGGCCAACCACATACCTGTGGGAAACCTGAAAGCAGGAGCTGAGCTCAAGAGCACTATCATCTCACATGGTTTCCAGCAACTGGTATTCAGAAGCACTGCTGCCTCCAGTGATGGAGGCAGAGCATAGCTATTGTGGCTAGGAGCCATGGAGACCTCTCTCCTCCATGAATTTGTCCAATACTTTTCTAAAGCCTTCCAAGCTGGTGGCCATCACTGTCACTGGCATCTCCAGGTACAGCAAGAAGAGACCCCCTGCCTGAAATCCTGGAGATCCACTGCCGGTCAGTCCTCATTATTCTGAATAGCAGATGCCAGGGATTGAACCAGGACCTTCTGCATGCAAAGCAGAAGCTCTACCACACAGCTATGAGTCTTCCTCAAGGGAAAAGAAGGCATTACATTTACAGTAATACCTCCGCGAACGTCCGCCTTGTCTAGCATCCATTCTGGGGAACATCTGCGGCAAACCCGGAAGTACCAGAACAGGTTACTTCTGGCTTTGCTGCTCGCGCATGCGCAGAAGTGCAATGTCACGCTTCACGCGCATGCGCAGACACGGCGCTTTGCCCTGAATCCTTTTCGGCTAACAGCCAGGGCTCCGGAACGGATCCCGGCCGCAAAATGAGGTATTGTGTATTGTGTAATAACACCAAAGAATAAGTCATACCTCGGGTTGAATACGCTTCAGGTTGAGCGCTTTCAGGTTGCGCTCCGCAGCAACCTAGAAGTAACGGAGCTCATTACTTCCAGGTTTTGCCGCTCACGCATGCGCAGATGGTCAAAATGACGTCACGCGCATGCATGGAAGTGGCGAATCGCAACCTGCGCATGTGCAGACACGCAGTCGCGGGTTGGGTTCGCTTCAAGATGCAAACGGGGCTCCAGAACGGATCCCGTTCGCATCCTGAGGTACCACTGTAATAGAATCATAGAATCTTAGAGTTGGAAGGGACCCAAGGGTCATCTAGTCCAACCCCCTGCAATGCAGAAATCTCAACTAAAGCATCCATGACAGGTGGCCATCCAACCTCTGCTAAAAACACACAACAACAACAACAACAACAACAACAACCTCCGAGGAAGCAGAGTCTATAACCTCCCAAGGGAGCATGCTCCACTGTCGAACAGCTCTTAGAAACAGACATAAAACAACCCACTCGCTTTCTGTGTGGATTATCTGGGTGAAGGAGCACTGGGCTTCTCTTGCTGTCTTCTCACATCTCCCTGGGAGTTTGTGCATCCTAATGGAGAAAATTCTTGCCTTTCAACACCCAATTGCTCTGCCCATAGCAAAAGGTCTGTCAAGGGATCAACAACTCTGGAAAAGTCTTTGAAGCCTTCAGCTCAAAGAGAGCCCACATATAACAAGAACTCCCTCCGCATGTCTTGCTAATGCTCCCTGAAGAGCACATGAGAGACCTCTCAAAACCTGTCAGAGAGGAGCATTCCTATTCACCATCTCTCTCTCTTCCTCATTCACAACTTGAGGAGAGACGGTGATGTAGCTTGTCGGCCCTGTTCGATTTTGCAAGGCAGTTTCCAAAGGGGAGGGGAGGGGATTACTTGTCATTTCTCGCTGCCTCTCCAAGAGATTGTCAGGTACAGGACACCATAGCTCACACTTGAAACTTACACCATTCTAAAAACTGTGTCCTATAGTCACAAAAGAGAGTCAGATACATTTGTGCCTTAGAAAAGGTCAGGAAGAGTCACAGTTTAGCTGACATGAGTTCAACTGCATTACCCATTGTGCTAACCCTGCAAAAAAAGGGGGGGGGACTAGACCTGTAACATTTTTGAGTAAGGATGTCTCCTATTCCAACAGTTGCTAGATAAATTTCAGTCTCTCTCTGCATACTTTTGCTAGCTCTGAAATGGCTGTTGCTGATATTTTATTTTATTTTTTTTATTTTATGCAATCAATAGTGTAGGGGCAAATCCAGAAGGTTAGGGTTCCTTCATGATAGTCATAGCCATGCCTGCTTCTAAGAATGCACAACCTTCTAAGATTATTGTTGTTGACGACAACAACAACAATAATGGACGCATTGCAACAATACATGCACATCTCCATTTCTGCTAGAGCTACCGTTTTCTGTGCACATACATGAGCAAATGATTTGGAGTGTTCCAATACCTTCTTTCAGAGTGATTTAAGTTGTGTTTTCTGTGAAATTCCATTGTACATAACAGAACATGCACACCATTTTCTTGAAACTGAAGAATCTTGTCTTTGCAGTTCTCCTAAATGCTTCTCTTTGCAGCACACAGGGGTTAAAAAGCTCCTTTCCCATGCTGATTGGGCGGCTCTAGGGTGCTGGAGATGGGGGCCCGGCAAGAAGCTTGCTGCAGAAATAGTTATGTGCCTTCAAACCACCACCACCCAACATTGGACCACTACAACACTGCCTACAATGAAATTGAGGGTGCAATGTTGACATTGGTTACAGCCATGCTGCAGACTGGACCAGAACTGACCAGAACTGGCATTGTCTTCAGAAAATTAATCTGGCATTCAATTCTTCATAACTGAGAGTGAAACAGGGATGTGCAAAACCTACAGTGTCTGTGTGACTATGAGATATCAAATACTAAAAAAATTCACAATAGCATGCTGGTGACTGTTAAGTGGGTGTTGTGCCTAGCCCTGACTTGATGACAGAGTCCTCTGAGGATAAATTGTTTGTGTCACAGGCCCTTGAAGAACAGGCAGGGCACTGAGGATCTCCTTGAAGGGCCCTCTGGTGAGAGACCTGCTGAAAAACTGCTGGAATTGTCAAAGGAGGAAGTTTAGCTACCGCCCCATCCTCAAAAGCACCAGTGTCAAAAAGCCCAGTACCAAGCCAAAGAGCAATAACATAGCATGTGTCTTTTGTGTTGCTGATTTTGTAAAAATAAGAATAGTAGCCAGCATGGGGAAGAGGACACCAGATTAGGATCATGCCATAGAGAGTGGGGTCTGTAACCTTTGCCTCTAGCATGCTCTCAGCTAGCATGCTCTCACCCTCTGTTGCTGAGGCTGCAATGGTGAAAATGTTGGACTAGGATGTGGAGACCAGGGTTCAAATCACCACTCAGCTGTTAAACTCACAGTGACCTCGAGCCAGTCACTGTCTCTCAGCCTAACCTTCCTCATAGGGTTGTTGTAGGGATAAAAACAGGAGGAGGGAACCTTGTATACCACCTTGAACTCATTGAAGGAAATGGTGGTGTACATGTGAAATGAATGAATGAATGAATGAATGAATGAATGAATGAATATTTGGGCAATCCAGCAACCTCAGTCTGCCCTCCGCCAGACCCTACCTGCCTGCCTTCTTACAACAAGCTCAGATGGTGGCCCTGGCTGTCAACTTCCTTCTCTCTAGGCAAAGAGCTGCTCTTGTAGACCTTAGCAATGGAGAATTAGTTGGTTCCATCCATCATTAGCTCTGATGCCATCTGCTGTTGGAATCCCTGCCTTCTGCCCTACAGACCCAATGTGCACCAGACTCTTCCCCCTTCCCACCAGTGTTGCAGCAAAGTTTGAGATCTACTCATCACACACACACACACACACACACACCCCACAACACTTTCCCACTTGGACAAGTCTTCAAGGAACCGATAATGTTTCCCTGACGACTGGGAGGCTGAACAGAAAAGGCACGGTGGCTGGATTTTACACAAGATGACACTGGTTGAAAGGAAGTAATATCACCCATTGCTTAATGCAATCGAGGGAGCCAGAGGTGCAAGGAAGGAATGGTAATTCTATTGCGACTGAACTTGGAGATCGCTGTCAAATATGAGTGTGAATGTGGCAGTTACTTTAGGTCTGTTTGTAATCTTTCGAGGCGTTTTGTCAAGGAGGCCCCTGTGATATTAGTAAGAGTGCAGAAAGGCACGCCAGTGGTGTCATGCACAATTAATGTCCCCAGGTAGCAACTCCATTAGTCTTATGAAGTGAGCTCACAAATGCGAATACTAATGGGGATTTGCCTGTGGGGCACATGCGCTGAGCTTACAGCTAGATGATTGCAGTCCCTTCATGCTCAACACCAAGTTTGCCAAGCAAGGAATATAGAAAGAGATTGCAGCTTGCACCCCAATCTTCAAGCAGCGAGAAACTCCATGGGATCCAGCACTTACCCAGGATTTGGTTTCCTTGGAATGAAAGTCAATGGAGACTTGTGGTGCCATTAGGATATATGGTTTTATTTACACATTTATATAGTCTGAACATAGGATGGATGGGCTCACAGCATTAACACTCCAACAGATCTTGCTTCCCCATAAGGTTTCCATGAAAGTCCCAACCCACACTTTGGGTCCAGCACAAAGCAAAATGTGGCTCCGTGTTGGAAGCTTTCAGCATCAGACAAAGCATACACACACACACACACACACACACACACACACACAGCCCACCTTGACTTGTTGTTCTCCTAGGATGATTATCCTGCCAAGTGATGTGGGAAAAGGCCAACCCATTGGTCTCTAGGGCAACAGGGCAGCCTCTTTGTGAATGTAGATAGATGGTAGTACTTAACTGGACAACTGCCATAATAAAGGAACTGGTTTGGCTGGTTCAGCAGGTTTCCACCTATAGATTCTAACCTCACAGATACAGGATCACAGTTATGGAAATGATCCAGACTGACCCCCAACCTATAATGGTAAATAGGTATTTTCAAAAGCAACGTTGCAGAAGCATTTTTGTCAGAATTGGTAGGTGTACACCCTTCTGATGATTTCTTCTTCTTCTTCCAAGCACTGGAAGAAACAAGAGATAAGAGGGTTTTTGTTTTGTTGATTAATTCAATAAGCATTTTGCCCTCTCTCTGCATAGGCTTCATCATCACCATCACTGACACCAACACACAACCAATTCTGATTGGTGTCATTACCCCTTACTTAGACCCATGCAGTACATGGAATGAGACCTTAACTAGGAAGAGATTCAGGATTCTTCTTTGAGTGGGGCAAGAGTAACAATTAGTAACATATTTGGTGTCCTCCTGGCCAAAGGATGCAGCTCAGTCATCGTTCTTCAGCTGGGAGGATAAATGTCCTGCAGTACCTCCATCCTCCCAGTCTTGCAGAAATCAAAGACTGTAAAATCATACACATCAGGCCTTCTAGGGAGGCAGAGTCAACCACTTAATAGGTCTTGTTCATCTACATTTTGCCAACTTCAGCTAGTGCAAAAGCTACAGCTGTTCCTTCATAGGGATGAGCTAGCCACAGTAGCCTATGTCTTAGTAGCCTCAAAATTAGATCTTTGTGATGCAGTTTATCTTGGGATGCTCTTGAAGCTGGTTTGGAATCTGCAGCTGGTGCAGGGCACTGTGACTAACACATATGAAGAGCCCTGCTGCTGGATCAGGCCAATGG